CAAGCTAATGGCAGAACAAGAAGTTGAACCCTCTACCAGCTGGAGATCAAAGGCCATCCTGTTAGAAATAAGATGAGCCCCCCAAATCAAGGGTCCTGGTAGAACACAGAGCATCCTTGGGAGCCAGACCGCAAGGCAAATACCGTTACTCCTGCAGGAGGGTGCCCACGCACACGGAGCCGGTGGTCCCTCACAGCCCTCCTCTTGAGTTTCCGGGTCATCGCCATCCACCAGGAGACTATGTTCATTCTAATCAAGACTTGGAAGGGAAATGAGGTGGAACCTCCTGGGAAGGACCCTACCTTGTCCTGCTTACCGTGGAGACTGCCGTTCGAGCTGCAGAATGAGGTTGGAGCCATCTCTCATGGGTTAAGGACAGACCAACAGCTTCTCCAGGTGGACACCTCCCCCTGGACCCCTGGACCGTACCAGGATACAGCCCCTTGAAATCAATGCTGAAAATGGTGAGGCTGGGTTCGATTCGCTTGAGGGATCTGGAAAATTGCAGAGGGCTTACAGGGTGGGTTGGAGAGATGTGTACAATTCAGATCATGCTTATTACCCAGGTACGTTATTGGTCGCAGATAACTTGAATGACTTGGATATCTCAGCCTCTGGACCAAAAGGTTGGCGAGGACTAGACTTAGGAGTAGATGCCACAGGACAAGATCTCTTAGGCCAGTGTTTCCCAAACTTTTGACATATGTGTGCCTTCTATAATTTTCGTAACGCTGAGTACCCCTCATACTCATGAGAACGTAGAATTAGGTGCAGCTAAGCACAGTGCAATGCATATCCCCACCAAACTCCGGTGCAACTAGTACCCCCACCAAACTCTTCCCGTACCCCTGGGGGTACATGTACCACACTTTGGGAAACACTGCCCTAGGCCACTCCCACCACCGTGCAAATAGAAGTAGGCTATGAGGGAACGAATGCCTGGGTGGAATGGACTCAATGTTCTGTGTCCGCCTTAAAGAAAAGCGACTGTCCCGCTGGTGTGGCTGGAAAGCTAGAGGCCCAAGTGATCCCATGTTCGTTCAGATGGACCTCAGACAGTAACTGGATGGAATGGATGTGTGCTTGCCCCGCACCAGGAAGGAAACCGCCTGGGGAAACGCTTCCTGCAAGACTCTCGCCCTGTTGTTCCCATCCAAGAGAGGAAAAGAGCAGGGATTCCCCAAAAGGATCTGTCCCCGGTCCTCTGACGTAAACTATACCTCCTGCCTCTCAAGGGGGGCAGTTCTCAGGGTTTATGAGAAATTTACCCAGATGCGTAAATAGCCAAGTGTCCTCAGAAGCCAACCGTGCTGCCCTGCGGATACCCATTGAGCAGACGCCTGGTGGTATTGTCAGGGACCATTGCTTACAGCCTTGACCAGCAGTTGGAGCGGAACTTGTGCTCTGATACCATCGGCTACCCCTTTCCCTTTGGCATACCGTAAACCTCTTTCAAAGGACAGACAGACAGACCAGGAAGAGGAGAGAGAGTCCAGGGGGCTCCTTGGACCCTCATATGGACACAGGTCCCATGGGGCACTATTCCTAAATCTAGTGCCAAACGAGTTTAAGGCTAGAAGTCAGATTGCTGCAGGATTTGAATCTGCCCTGTGCTGGCGGTCCTCTGTGAAACAAGAACGTGGTGGGGCCGAAACCGGTTTGGCTCAGTGGATAGAGCATCGGCCTGCGGACTGAAGGGTCCCAGGTTCAATTCTGGTCAAGGGCATGTATTATACCTTGGTACATCCCCAGGAGGGGGTGTGCAAGAGGCAGCTGATTGATGTTTCTCTCTCATCGATGTTTCTAGCTCTCTATCCCTCTCTCTTCCTCTCTGTAAAAAAAAATCAATAAAATATATTTTTTTAAAAAGAAAAAGAATGGTTGGATTCATTATATGTACTGTCACTAGCAAATGGTTGTTAACTATATTCAAGATGCAGTTAAAGGGATAGCAGAACCACGAGAGGCCACCAGCAGGATGACGTAGGGGAAGAGAACGGCCTCGGATAGGATTCTGGCAGAAAAGGAGGAGTTTGTGTCATGTTGAGGGGCCGATATTGTACTCTCCTCCCTGACAACACAGCTCCGGACGGGACTGCTAAGGCCCTGCAGGGATTAACAACTCTAGCTGGTGTGTTAGCTGAGAACCTGGGATCGAGGATCCTTTCTCCAATTTAGCAGTGGTTTGGAGAATGGAAGGGAATGACAGTCGTGGATGTTCTATCATCCCACATATGAGGGGTCTTATCTGAAGTTAATGGAAACCGCATTGACCAAACAGCAAAGCAGTCTCCTCGTAGATACCACAGAGCATGAAAGTCATGTTAGCCGAGTTTGAAGAAAAGAGTTAAGTGAAAAGGGGGCATTGTGAGAATGAACAAATCATCTTCTCTGTCAAAGAAGAGAGTTTAGGCAGCCTTCAGTTTGGCCCACGTGACTTGCAGCTCCCCTGGGGGGCCGCCATTGTCAAATGGCAAAGGTCAGCCCCTTCCTTTAAATTAGCCAATCTCAAAAGAGTGGGAGCCTGTTCTTCCAATCAAGAGTGAGGGACAGATCACGTGCTTCAGGAATAAAAGCCTGAGTGGACGGCCCACCCAGTCAGTGTGCCTGTGCTCCCAGACCCTGTGCTGCACACCCTCCTGGGGAGTAAAGATATTTGCCTTGCTGTGGGACCCCCCGATCTTGGGGGCTCGCCTTATTTCTAACAGTTGAGAGAGGGCAACCCTTCGTGATCAATTTTGTGGAACTTGGAGAAATCCTTGCCGAGAAGTCTGAAGACAGCATCTCTCCAGACCTGTCCACACTGCCCCTTAATTGTTTTCTAAAATCCTTTTTATTGAATTATCAGAGTGTAATGGAAGAGTCGATGAGAGTCACTGCGAAGTTACAAGGCCAAGGCTTGCTGGGCGGAGGAAAACAAAGCCCTCACAGCTCCCTGGGCCGAGCGATGGTATAAAATATGTATTTTTTACATAACTGGGCAAAAAAAAATAAACGAACCAGGCCGCCCCATGGGGACAACGCCCCTTTTTGTATTTCCATTATCTTGTTTAATGCACAGTCCAGTCCAGCAGGAGCCTCAGCGGGCAGGGAGTACTGGAGCCTTTTCCCTCTGAGCCTCCTGGTAGGGTAAGAGGCAGTGAGAGCCAAGATGCAGACATCCAAATGGGCTGGGCGTGTGCTCAGAAACCCATTAAAACGTCATTACAACGGAGGGGACGGACAGGTTGAGGGGGACTGAGCTGGCCCTCAACCGTCTTGCTTTGAGACATTGCTTCTCTTTTGGGGCTTTACCGTTAAGCTTTTCTGGGTGAACTATTGTAAACCCGGCCTTCCCCATGTGGAAGGGGGAAGGGGCGGCCCTTTCCAGAAACAACCTCTGCACCAAACGTTTACGGAGCCCTTGCTGCTAGGGGCCGATACTCTGCTGGGTGACTTTCTTGCGTTATCTCCTATCAGCCCATCTGTAGCGATGAGAACACAGACTCGTCAAGGTCACGCAGTGAGTGAGCAGCTGACTCCACACTGTGTTGTAGCTCTGACCATGTTTGGAGAGTGAATGGTGCTCTTGTCAAGGTAGCGAAACCACGCAGGTGCGACTGGCCCCGGAATAACATTTGCATGTCTAGTCTTTTTTTTTTTTAATATATTTTATTGATTTTGTACAGAGAAGAAGGGAGAGAGATAGAGAGTTAGAAACATCGATGAGAGAGAGTCATCGATCAGCTGCCTCTTGCATAACCCCTACTGGGGATATGCCCGCAACCAAGGTACATGCCCTTGACCAGAATCGAACCCGGGACCCTTCAGTCCCCAAGCCGACTCTCTATCCATTGAGCCAAACCGGTTTCAGCTAGTCTTTTTTTTTTTTTTTAATATTTTATTGATTTTTTTACAGAGAGGAAGGGAGAGGATAGAGAGTTAGAAACATCGATGAGAGAGAAACACTGATCAGCTGCCTCCTGCACATCCCTACTGGGGATGTGCCTGCAACCAAGGTACATGCCCTTGACTGGAATGGAACCTGGGACCTTTCAGTCTGAAGACTGATGCTCTACCCACTGAGCCAAACCGGTTTCGGCTGCATGTCTATTCTTTTTGTGATCCTAAAATTATTTTATTGCGGGACAGAATTCTCTAGAGAAGGGTATGTGGCAATGGTGTGGGGTTAAGAGACCCAGCCTGGAGATCAGGAAATCTCAGGTTCCAGCCTTGGCTTTGACATGGATTTGCTACGGGGCATTGAGAGTTATTTGCAAATAACAGGTTTGTGTGATCTCCGTTTTTTAAAAAAATACATTTTCATTCATTTCAGAGAGGAAGGGAGAGAGAGATAGAAACATCAATGATGAGAATCACTGATTGATGGGCTGCCTCCTGCACGCCCCCCACTGGAGCCCAGCACCTACTGTTGCTGTTATCATCACTCGGAGCTATTACGGTGCAGGAAATATTGGTCTCTTGAATTGTATGGCAACCTCACAACATAGGGAGGCGTTTGTGATTATGATTCCCATTTAGAAAGGAAAGAAGCTGAGGTGTGGGAAGGTGAACTGAGTTGCAGACAAGAGCGGGTGGAGACCTGCAGTTCAAAGGACAGAACCAGACGAAGGGGGAAGCCCAGGTGTCAGTGAGCCACCCACCGCGAAGCCGACTCCCAACTTGGTGGCAACAGGAATCCTGCACCCAACCCTCCTCCCGCTGCCCTCCGCGGTCCAGCGGGTCCCGGGTCCGCGCGAGGCCGGGGCAGGGGGCGGGGCAGGGGGCGGGCCGTCCTCCCGGGCCCCGCGGAGGAAGCTGGGGCCGCGCCGGCCGCTCATTGGTTGCTCGCGGCAGGTGCAGCCTCAGCCAATCACCGGCGCGGGGGCGGGGCCTCACGGGCTCACCTGGCGGCGGCGGCGCAGCCCCAACTCAGTGGCGCCCGGAGCCTCGGAGCACCTGCGAGTTCCTGGAAGTTCCGTCCGCCTCGGCCCGGCCGAACCCAGCCTCCCCGGCCCGCCATGGGCCCTCCGTGCCGCCGCCTCCTCACGCCGCCGCTGCTGCTGCTGCTGCTGCTGCAGGTACGCCGGCCGGGCCCCCTGGCTCTCCCGGGACGCCTTCCGGGCCCTCGCCCGCGCCCCGGCCCCTCCGTCTCCCTCCGTCCCTCCCGCTCCCCATCGTCCCCGCCGCTCTCTCTTCTGACAAGAAACTTTGGGTCTGGAGGCCCGGGGCGGCCTGGACCAGGCGGGGCGGGAGCGGGTGAGACGGAAGGACCGGGGACCCGGGCGCTCCTGGCCCCGCGGTGGGTGCGCCCCGGGGCGGGCGCTGGGGCTGGGGGCTCTGGGGCTGGGGCTCCGGGGATGGGGGCTCCGGGGTAGCGAGGGGCGCAGGGGGCGGGGCGTGCAGCCCAGTGGGGGTTGGAGAGCGAAAGGGGGAGCCCCGGGGCGAGTGCAGGGGAGCCGGGGGTCGTGGGGCGGCCCCCCGAGGTGACGCCAGAGGAATCAGTAGAAGTAAAGGCACCTGTGAGCTGCAGAAAGGGAGGTGCATGGGTCTGGGGGCGCCCTCGGAGGGTGAAAGGGGGGGGGTCAGACGTGGTTAGGGCGCCCAGGGTCCGAGGAGCTGGACCCGGAATGGGCGCGTCCCCGGTGGGGAGGAAAGGTGCCTCCGGGGAAGGGGAGACGGAAGGAGAGGGGCGCCGGGGGGGTGGGGGGTGAGGGAAGAGGTGACCCAGCAGCCCCTCTCCCGGGCGGGCGTTCCCGGGGGCCGCGCCGGGTCCCTCCCACCAGCCCGACGCCGCGGGCCAGGGAGGGGGTGGCGCTGCGGGGTTTCGGTGTAGGCTGGAGGGGGGACCCCGAAAGTCACCCCGGTTCCATCCTTTCCGCCCACCCCCAGGTCTCCTCGCGGCTCTGCCAGGAGCCCGAGCCCTGTCGTCCCGGCTTCGGCGCCGAGAGCTACACGTTCGCGGTGCCGCGGCGGCACCTGGAGAGAGGCCGCGTGCTGGGCAGAGGTGAGCGGGCCCGCGGCCGGCGGGGGGGCGTGGGGAGGGCCGAGACCTTGCCCCCCAAGTTCAGGGACTACACTGGGCAGGCCCCTTCTTCCTGGGCGCAGAGGACACGCCTTTGGAATTTGCACAAATGTGGGGGGGGGTGTCTAAGCTTCGGTGTCATGGAGCACGCTGTTTTTTGGGGGCTCTTCTGGGGGGGTGAGTTATGCTGCAAGGAGGGGCACTGGTTAGAGGCCTCGGGTGCCTCCTCTGGTCCCGACCCCTTCAGAGACAGCCTGTCATTTCCTACCGCAAATACCTAATAGTGGGATGGGCGGGAGGGAAGTGGGAGTGCCCCGTGCCCCATGGATGAGCCAGGGAAGGCTCAGCGGGCGGGTCCGCTTGCCCCGGGTCGCCCCGTGGGAATGGGGACTCAGCGCCTGGCTCCCAGGCCCCGTTCCGCACCGTCTCAGGTGGCTGGGGAGCCCTCTCGGTGGTTAAGCTGTGGCTGGTGCTCACAGAAGTGAAAGCATTTGGATACAGGTGCTGTTTCCCCCTGACACTCCCCCAGGAGTAATGTCTTTTTCTTTTCTCTTTTCTTTTCTGGGGCTTTATCATCGCTGAGATAATCTGAATGCTGGAGTTTGCTTTGTTTCATTCCACTGTTGCCCTGGGGCGAAAACAGGGGAAGGCTGGTTTCTCTTCTGGTTTCACGGATTCTCCCCGATGCTTTTCTTTCTTTCTTTCTTTCTTTCTTTCTTTCTTTCTTTCTTTCTTTCTTTCTTTCTTTCTTTCTTTCTTTCTTTCTTTCTTTCTTTCTTTCTTTCTTTCTCTTTTTCTTTCTCTTTTTCTTTTTCTTTTCTTTTCTTTTCTTTTCTTTTCTTTTCTTTTCTTTTCTTTTCTTTTCTTTTCTTTTCTTTTCTTTTTTCTTTCTTTCTTTTCCAAACCACTTTCTCCTCCCGCTGGATTTTAGTTGATTGGGCGAGTTATCATAACAATATAACACACACGTACCCAAAACACTTTTTGAAACCAGGAATCACCCACAATCCCCGGAGGGAATTCATTGCTTATTCTTCTAATCTCTGGCCACGTGAAACGTCTACAGCTATCACCCTGTTGTTTGAAAAAAAAAAATTTTTTTTTTGAACTTTGGAATTTGTTCCGATAGTGGGTGGGCATCTTTTACCCCCCCCTCCCCCCTCCCCCTGCAGAGAAACTGAAGCTTGATTGATTAAAATGTGTTTGCTTTTCCGAGGCCTGTGTGTGTGTGTGTATGTGTGTGGTGTGGCGCATTCCATGGGGTCAGGCTGGAAGTGTTTGCCCGGTTTTTGCCCTGGGTCCGTCTTCCTTGGCCGGTCCCTGCTTTGGTGTGCTGCCCCACCCTGTGCTGGGCACCTGGGAATGAACTGAGATAGAGGGATAGCCTAGCCCTGCCCTCCACACTGCCTGTCCCAGCACGTTGCTAAGAATGTCCCAGAACCCACGTAGAGGGCACTGGTGCCCGGAATGTTTGATGGGGATCAGTGGGCAGGGAGGCTTGGCTTCTGGAAGGAGTCAGCATTGCCCCAGCCTTGAAGAAGGGCTCGGGGGTTAGGAACAGGTGTGTGTGGGGTGTCTCCACACAAGTATTGGTCACTGTGTTTTCCTGAATCAAGGCATCTGGTAGCGCAAAGGGTGGGATTCGTTTTTATTCCTCTTGTGTTTGACTAATCATACTATTATTTCGGCCTTAGCCGGTTTGGCTCTGTGGATAGAGAGAGAATCAGCCTTCGGACTAAAGGGTCCCAGGTTCAAATTCGGTCAAGGGCATACATGTGCCTTGGTTGCAGGCATATTTCCCAGTAGGCAGATGATCGATGTTTCTAACTCTATCCCTCTCCCTTCCTCACTGTAAAAAAATCAATAAAATGTATATTAAAAGTACTATTATTAGGTGTTAATAATAATTATTAATAACAACGCCTGTTAGTTGCTTTTAACTGGACGGTGGGGCAAGTGCTTCGCATATTTCACCTCATTTAATCCTGCCAAGAGCCTTGTGAGGGTGGGCACCATGGCTCTTCCTATTTGGCTGATGAGAAAACGGAAGCGAAAAGCAATTTACTAGTTGTCCATTCAAGGTTTCCCAGCTGGTCTTTCTCCTGCTCTCCCCTTCTCTTCTCTGTAATCTCAACAAGGAAAGAGGGTGCTCGGGGAGTTAGTGTTCCTGTGTGCCTGGAAAAGCCGAGGTGTTGACAGGGCCAGCCCTAGAGGAGGGAGGAGTCAGACCGGGCGGGAGGTGGAGGGGCCTGCTGCTGGTGGCCGCTGGTGGTCTCGCTGGGCCAGGCGGTCTCCCCCAGCTGCTTGTATGGCTGGTTTCAGGTCCCTTTGCATCCTCATACCCGTACCCATTCAACAGGTTTCTTGACATTTCACTTCGGGGGTGCTTTTTTGGACTAGGGGGTCCCTTCCTATCAATCCAGTGTGGAATCACCCCAGGACAGAAGTGCCCTTGTGATAAAGCACACATGGGACCTCAGGGAACTGGCTTGTGTGTGTGTGTGTGTGTGTGTGTGTGTGTGTGTAATGGGATTACAGTAATGGGGTTTAGGGAGGAGGCCTCACTCTCTTAGGACAGTGTAGAAAATGGAGGGATGCCACATTACCACCAGGCTTAAACATTGGCCCCAGGGAGAATTTGCATACAGTCTCGAGGTTCCAGGGGCATCCCTCACCCCAGTCTGTCTGCAGACACCAGGTTAGAACCCTGGGTGCGGTTTCATGGCTCCTGCGTTTTAATTCTTTAAAAGCAGCGCACTCCAGAGCCCACCGGCTCCGTGGAGGTTTGGCTGCATGGGAGTTTACAAACTGGAATCTGTCACTTTTTGTCCACCTGTGACGATAGAGTGTCCCAAGGAGGATTTGGCTAAACGCGGGGGGGGGGGGGGTGTTGGGACATTTTTGTGCCCCAAGAGATCCTTGTGTTTGTTCTGTTGGTTTCTCTCCAGGTTCTAGAATGGAGAACATTTTAAAAACAAAAACCAACCCCCCCAAACACACACACACACACACACAACCCCAGCTGTAAATGGGTTCTTTAGTTTCTGACTATCTTCCCTTTTCTGAGCACAAATTGGTTTTCAGATCTCACTCCGCTCTAAGTTGGCTGGAGGTCGGGGGAGGAAAACCCCTGGTTTCCTTGCTTTGCTTCCCCTGCCACCTGGCCTTGGGCAAACAAGGTCTGTGTTTTGGATCTGAGCCCCGGCTGCGTGATGGATTGACCTCGCTCCCAGGCCCCCACCTGTGTGGATTAAGTACACCCATTTCCTCTCCTTCCTGAAAGATGTGCTGAAAGGTGGTGGGAACCTTACGCTGGCCCCCTAATTAAATGGGCTTTAAAAAAAAACGCACACACACACACACACAGAGAAACCTGCTTTGGAATGATCTGACATCATCAGATCCCCACTCCCCTCCCCTCACCCTCCTAACCACCACTTCCCAGAGTCCTCACATTTGTGACAGGGGAGGAGACTAATGGCTCCTGCTCCTGTCCTTGCCTTTGCGTCTCCCTAGGAGCCGAGGCCCGAGGTCCTGGGCCCTGCAAGGCCATGTGAGGAAGGCTGGCTGCCTGCTCTTGCCCTCCTTCTCTGCCAGGTGGTTATGGAAATCCCTGTTTGCTCTCCAGGGCTTTTTATGGAGCCAGCCTTTTCTTCGGAAACGCTCACCTGGGTGTCTGTTACGAATCCCCTTCCAAGCGTAGCCCCAGATAAGCCAGACGCTGAGGCAATCAGCTCTCCCATCTCCCAGAAGCTGCCAAAACCCGAATGTCCCCGAGAGGCACCACACAATCCAGACTTCTGGGTTTCCACTCTGCCTCAACTTCCATCTCCTCTCCCCGCTCGGGGCTCTCAGGGAGATGAATGAAATCGGTTCGGCCGGGCAGGGTGGCGGTGTGAGTACCTGAAAGGTCCGGATTTGAATTTCAGCTGTTAGCGGTGTGACCTTGGGCAATAAATCCCTTTACTCCGGTGAGCCTCAGTTTCCCCATGTATAACATGGGAGGCCAGCAATACAGGTTTGCCATGAGAATTCAACGTTTGTATTCACTCAGTGGTTGAGTCAACCCATGACTCTTGGGTGCCAGTGCTGGGCTAGGCCCTGGGTTTACAGTAATGAATAAAGCAGGTGTGGGCTGAACCAGTGGGACAAATGTAAAGAGATAAGGGGGAGGGGGGTGGGAAATAGATGAGGAGTCGTGAAATGGTGGCTCATGTTTCTTAGGGACAGAGTAGGCAGTCAAACAACATTTTGAATAAATGAATAAAGGAGTGAATAAATATCGACTCCTCTTCGGGCCAGCCCTAGCCAGCGATTGTAAATGGGCAGGGGAGCGTTGCGGCCGTGGCTCTCCAAGCTTTGCGATAAGTGTGTCCCCGGGATACAGTGGACTGAGTGCTTCCCTCTGAAAGCTCCGGAGGGCAGAGAAAGGAGACCTCGGTTTCGGAAATGGAAGGGCAGTTCGTCATCTTTAAGTGTTTTTCATCGTTGGTCAATTAAAAAAAAAGAGGTGACGGCCTTTCTCCCTAATTTGTTTCCCGTTTATAAAGCTTAGCTGATGCTTGGCAGGGCTTTCAGTCACTCCTCTTTCCGCACTTTTCCCTTTGCCTCTTCTCAAACTACCTCCAGTCCTCCTCTTCCCCCCCGCAAGGCCCTCCGGCACCTTCCCAGCATTTAGAGGGTCCTTGGGTCAGACTGCCTAGATTGCAATCCAGGGAAAATGCCCCTTGCCAGCCGAGGGACATGGGACAAGAACGTTCTCAGCCTCTGTTTTCCCATCTGTGAAATGGGCAGAATAGTATCCCAAGCCATAGGGCGTGCCAAGCCTTGATATCAAGCCTTAATATCAAGGCTTGCTGAATATTAAGTAATAAAGCCCCCGGAGAATTTAGTGCTTTCTGTTTGAGACACTCCCTCCCGCGTTTTACCTTCAGTTCAAACCTCTCTCTCCCTGGGCTCCCTCCTGCCCAGCAAACCAGCCA